TCAAAGCGACGGGAGTATCCGTCGCGACTGTGATGTGGCATCGACGTGTTTAATGATTCCGACCCAGTTCCGATGGATAATTCCGTCGTAGAATTAAATAAACACGCAGAACTCAATCTTTTCCTCAGAATCGCGAAGTTTCTCTGCCCTAAACCCTTTCTCCGCTCCGGCCACTCTCTCTCACCGCCGTGTTCGTCGCCGCTCGACAAATCGGCGTTCCCGTCATCTGTGCGCCTCTCCCAAACGTATTTCCGGCGTAAGTTTTTTAGATTTCGTATGTGTTTCGATCTGTTTTCGTATTTTTGCAGATTTCGTAGTTTGTTTGTTTTGTTTTTTGCTAGATTTCGATCTATCTCAGGGTTATTGTGGGGTTTCGATTAGGTTTGGGTTTCGAGAGGGTTCAAGTATTGTTTCCTTTCGTAGGGTTTCGATTCAGGATTGGTTCGGTTTGTTTCGTTTCGTTTCGTTCAAGTTCTATACGGTTTGTTAGATTTCCTTTCGTAGGGTTTCACTTAAGATTTCGGATTCTTCTATATTTAGGGTTTCGGTTAGGGTTTATGATTCTGCTATGTTTAGGGTTTCGGCTAGGGTTTGTTGTTCTGTTAGGGTTAGGTTTTCGGATCTGTTAGGGTTAGGTTTTCGGATCTGTTAGGTTTAGGGTTAGGGTTAGGGGTTAGGGTTAGGGTTAGGGTTAGGGTTAGGGTTTAGGGTTAGGGTTAGGGTTAGGGTTAGTATTTGGGGTTTTGTTTGGGGTTTCGTTTGGGGTTTAGAGTTTTATTACCTATTTGATACAATATTCTAACGAACTTTGTAGATGAGTCACGAAAGACGTGGTTCGGGTTCTCGTTCTGGTAGTCATAGCGGGAACAATACTCGATCCCGGGGTGTGGTGTTGGATCACCAACGATCCAAAGTCAACGAATCCCTGATCCACTGCAGTTGGATCAACGTTTCACTGGCAGGGTACTCCCCAGGCTTCATTTGAGGCCGTCGGTTCCGGCCATCGCTCTGTTTATGCTGGGATCTCTCTAAGAGAGATCATGGCATCAGAGAGTCGACGACAACAACCTTGTATCAATCCTGATTCGGCTGATGGAGCGTTGTGGTAAGTATATTCTAACACCACTTTCGTTTACGATTAAAATCAACCGTCGTTCAACTTAATTAATGTTTTTGAATATCATAGGTTTGATCGGAATGATCAGTTGGTTGAGAATATCAAAACGATCATGCGTTCTGATTATCATGGCCCGTGGCGTAGCATCTCTCGGGTCCCGCAAGATATCTTGGCACGATGGTTTGCTGCTTTTGCGGTATTGTCTTAACTTGTTCGTTTTTTGTTTAATATATCTTTTTTAGTATTAAATAACTAACACATTTTGTTTAAAGCAATCTTATTACTGGGATCTTTCTGTGCATGATGTCGTCCATCGTGCGTGGAAAGATTGTCTCGGTGCGAGATTGCGAGATAACCTTTATAGGTTGAAATTCTTGCGGAAGGTGGCAGCACGGCAGGTAGGTCCCGAAAATCCGGCGAAATCCGCGTCCCAAACCAACAAGTTGGCAACTTGCGTTTGCTATCGAGTCCCGGTCCGCCGGACCAACATCCTGGTCCGCCGGACCGGACACACTTTTATTTTTTTTTTTCGAATTTTCCCCAGTCCGTGCTGTCCAGTCTGAGTCCGGCTGAGTAGGTTGGTCCGCCCCGGACAAAGCTCTGGTCCGGCGGACAAACCCTGTTTTTTTTTATTTTCTTTTTTTTTTCATTCCTTCTCGGTCCTTTCCGCGCGTGACGATCCTCGTGCCTCTCCCCGGCATTGTACTATTCGTTTTGGGTGATTTCGTGACATCTCTATTTAATTATTTATTTTTAAATAATTAAATATTCAAATCGGGTTTCGCGGTATTACAAATCCTCCCCCCTTAAAATGAATTTGTCATCGAATTCAGAATCGTATGGTATCATCAAGACTTCCTCGTATTCGATATCATCTCCAAAACACAATCCATATCGTCACGTCGTCTGAAACATAGTCTACTACAAACCGAACGTCATATAAAAGAGTTCGTACAACGCTCAAATAAATAGATGCGGATAACTACTACGCATCTCTTCCTCGGGTTCCCAAGTCATGTCAGAGACCCCTTGGCTTCGCCACAAGACCTTCACGAGTGGCACCTCCTTCGTCCGCAGCTTCTTGATCTTCCATCGCGGAAACGTGTAGCCTCCGTAAACTCCAACTCTTGGGGCTGTAGCATGTGAGAAGGATCCGCTACGTACCTCCGCAGCATCGACACGTGAAACACGTCATCGATGTTGCCCAGCTCTGGCGGCAATCCAAGACGGTATGCAACAGCTCCCACTCTGGCGATCACGGGATAAGGTCCGATGTAGCGCGGCTTCAGCTTCCCGCTCTGCCCGAACCTCGCATGACCTCGCATCGCCTATACTCGGAGAAAGGCGTAATCCCCGACCTCAAGCTCGAAGTCTCAACGTCGTTGATCGGCGTATGACTTCTGTCGGTCCTGCGCCGTCTTCAGATGGGCGCGAATCCTCCGTATCACCTCCGTGGTCTCCTCTACAATCTCCGGTCCAAACTCGCGACGCTCCCCGATCTCGGTCCAGCACAACGGCGTCTTGCAGGGCCTCCCGTACAGAGCCTCGTATGGAGACACTCCCATGCTCGTGTGATGGCTGTTGTTGTACGCGAACTCGCACAACGTCAAGTACCGATCCCAGGAGCCCCCCACCCCATGATACAAGCTCGGAGCATGTCCTCCAGAGTCTGTATCGTCCGCTTTGACTAACCGTCTGTCTGAGGATGGTATGTCGTGCTCATCTTGAGCTTCGTCCCCAGAGCTTCCTGTATCGCCTTCCACAGGCGTGATGTGAATCGGGCGTCTCGGTCTGAGATGATCTCGTTCGGAACCCCATGTAGACGCACGATCTCATCGATGTAAATCTGCGCCAACCGCTCAATCGGATACTCCTGCCGGATGGGGATGCAATGAGCGGATTTGGTTAGTCGGTCCACGACTACCCAAATGGCGTTCTTCTTGCTGGGCGTGAGCGGTAATCCGACCACGAAGTCCATGGCGATCGAATCCCACTTCCACTTAGGTATCTCCAGCGGTTGTAGCTTTCCTCCCGGCATCTGTCGTTCTGCCTTCACATGTTGGCAAGTGAGGCATCTCGCTACGTAGTC